CCCCGGGTCAGCAGCAGCCCAGGGGAGGGAAGCAACCCGGCGGACCCCGCGGGCAGCGGACAGCCCAGACGCGTCTGGGCTGTCCACTGCCCGCGTGCTCCACTGCTTTGCTCTGCTTTGCTCCCCGTCTCCCTGGTCTGCAGACCAGGGGGACGGGGGGGGGAGGGGGCAAAGCAGAGCCAAGCCTCAGAGCGCGTGGGCAGCGGACAGCCCTGTCCGCTGCCCACGTGTTCCGCCGCTTTGCTTCCTCTCCCTGGTCTGCTGGAGACCAGGGAGAGGAACGGCCACGTAAGTCGGATCCGCGTAACTCGGGGACTGCCTGCACTTGGTTTGAGATAACCTTTTGATTAAAGTACAGACTGTAGGGGGCAAAGCAGAGCCAAGCCTCAGAGCGCGTGGGCAGCGGACAGCCCTGTCCGCTGCCCACGTGTTCCGCCGCTTTGCTTCCTCTCCCTGGTCTGCTGGAGACCAGGGAGAGGAACGGCCACGTAAGTCGGATCCGCGTAACTCGGGGACTGCCTGCACTTGGTTTGAGATAACCTTTTGATTAAAGTACAGACTGTAAATTCAAGAGTTAGCGGAAGTCTTATCTACAAGGAAAGTTACTCTAGAACAGTTGTTTCTGATTAACTCCAGACATGGATGCTCTTATTCCAGAATACGAATGCCTTATTACAAATTATCTTAATTCAATTTGGAAGCAGATTTAAGTAATTCAGAATAAGGCATTTTTGTTCCAGAATAAGAGCATTCACACATGGCATTCATCAGAAAATGTTAATCTATTTTAAATTCATGCCTTCCCTTATTTCATGGGTAGACAAATCCTAATACCTACTATTAAAATAAATTGAATAGAATTGGGCTTTTAATTGCCCACATTGGTAATTAAAGATGCATTGTTTTGAAATTTAAAGTTCAATCATTTTATGTTAATTATCAATCTGGCAAGTCTTCAAGGAATAATTCTTTACATTATTTATTTAAAGTCACTTAACTGTTAGATCACTCTGCATTAACTTTTATTGTCCCCATTTGATGAATTGAAAAAAGTAATCAAATAAAAAAATGAAAGTTAAAATAATTTACTTCTTTTGTTTCAGTGGATAAAGTACTTTCTTAACCTGTCATGGAAATCGTGTGTTTTTGCAAAATCTATCCAGCTTCAGGTTTGAAACGTTCGATATTCCAAATTGTCCAAATTATTTTCAAGTGGTTTGTAACTCCATTTAATTATCTAACATATCAAGACAGCTTGTAATAAATCAGTTAACCGACAAATGAGCTGTTTTCAGCCAAGATAAAATCATTTTTGTTTAAGATATGCTATCTGAATCTAACAGTAAATGTGATAGGCAAAGACAAAGCTCTATAAGTGTATCATGAGCTGTCATACATTCTTTCCAAGCCACACCAATAACCACTTCTGAGCCAGACACATCTTTCTTTCCTTATTTATAATTGTTTTTCCTACCTCAATACACATGCATAGTGGATCCTAGAGTATAAGTACTGGCTGATCATATATAAATTTTTGGGAAAAAAGTTTAGGCACATGCTACAAATAGAAAGAAAGTAAAAGTACAGAGATTCTAGAAGATGGTTTAAACTTATATTAGCTTCTATTCTCAGTTCCATCTATGAATTGTAATGTAATTTATCCACACCCAAGCTCTCTCAGGCCCTATTTTTTTGCTTTATGTAGCACAGCGCAGTTCCCAGTACTAGCAACAGTGCATAAGGTCAGATGACAATTGCAAAAATGCCTGCACCTGCGCTATTCAAGGAGCATTTTAAAATAGCTCTTTTTCGGAGGCTAGAGCTGTGGTGCCCCAGGAGATGGGGGACAACTTTGTTTAAATGTTTTTCTTTTGTTAAAGCCAGGGAATGTCTAGTATTCATTTGAACTAAATGAATGACCTGGGCCCTATATATAGCACAGGCCAGCTAAGTGATCCCTGGGTTTTTTTTAAATGACATTTATCTAGTGTAAACCAAACTATAAAAATTATTGTCCATATTTAGCACAAATGATGATGATGTTATCTGGTAGTTATATATTCACTGCAACAGCACCTACATGTCTCAACCACAACAGGCACCATTAGGCTAGGCACTGCACAAGTACACAAGAGAAAGACCTGGCTTCAAAAAAAAAAAAAAAAAAATGTATAGTGTATAAAAGACAAAGCAAAACAGATGAAGGGGGGAAGATATGGAATGGGGGTAAAACCAGTAATAGGTTGTAAGTAAATGTGTAAGTAATGAGCCAATGCTCTTCACCAGTCATTAATATTTCTAAATTAGCAACATGGCATCTTTTCTTCAGCTTCAAATATACTTTGGTTAGGGGAGATGCTATACAATGAAAAGACTTGAGGCTTAGCCTGAAACTTCAATTAGTATTTTTGCAAAGCCTGAATGATAAACCCAAAGCCAGACTTCACCCTTTTCCATTTTGCTTCATATCAAATCACTTGAATTATTTCTGATGTTTAGTTTAGAAACTCTTGAAGTATACATTTGTTCCTTCCCAATATCTTTATTTGACAGTACACTCCAAAGTTCATTAAAACAGGGACCATTTACTAAAGTTTATTATTTGTGTGGTACTCACACCCATATGCACCTATTTCCCCTGTAGCTGGGGGGGGTGTGGACTGGACCCCAACTCCACTGCTTCCCTCAAGCACATTCTATTCCTCTACCACCTGCCTGGAGCTTACTGAGCCCTGCAAATGAGCTGTTCACAGCACTCTGGAAAGAGCTGGTCAGCAGGGCCATCAATGGATGATA